CTTGATGTAATAACCTATCCTCAACGGAATGGGTGGAAACATGTTATTTATTAGTCACTGGTTCATTCAGACACTCTGCGTGCCTGCCAGGTACCAGATAAAGTTCTCGTCCTGGATCACTGCTCCAAGAATTAAAATTTGTCACTTTTCCCCACCCCCACACTCCAGCACTTGAACCTTCTTATTACATCAGAATTCCACACTGTCAATGAAAAGAGTCAAACTCGGTAACATATTGAAGAGATTTATTCTGAGCCAAAAAGGAGTGACCACAGCCTACGACACAGTCCTCAGGAGACCCTGAGAACATGTGCTCAAGGTGGTTGTGGCACAGGTTGGTTTTATACATTTTAGAAAGATATGCGACATCAATGAAATACATTTAAGCTATACATTGGCTCAGTTCAGAAAGTTGGAACAATTTGAAGCAGGCAAGGGTTGTGGGGTAGTGCTTCTGGGTTATAAGTAGATTTTTAATTTTTCTGATTGGCAATTGGTTGAGTTAATATCAATAGAAAGGAAATGTCTGGGTTATGATAAGAGGTTGTGGAGTCCCAAATTTTCTCATGCAGATGACGCCTCCAGGTGCCAGGCTTCAGAGAGAATAGATTGTAAATGTTTCTGATCAGATTTAAGGTCTGTGTTGATGGTAAATGCTGGTCAGCTTTTCCTGAACTCCAAAAGGGAAGACGGCATAATCATGGTGGCTTGAGCCAGTCTTTCAGGTTAACTTTTGAGCACCCTGGCTGAGGGTGTCCATTAAGATGGTTAGGAGTGGGTGGCTTTGATGTTTATTTTTGGTTTACAACATGTAAAACGTTGAGAGGGGACAGAAACCACCTCCCTCCCTGGAAGAGGACAAGACTCCAGTCACCCTGCAGTTGATCATGGACATGCGTCTTAAGCTCCACCAGTCCGATGACCACCTGCTGAAGAGGTGTCATTGTCTCAGGTAAATACTAAGGGTTTGTCATCTCATGCCAAGAAGATGAAGGACACTGACATATGAGGAGTGAGTTTAGGAGCAAAGGGTTGAATAGGCAAAAGAAAGACAAAGGGGAACAGCTCTCTTCTTGTGAGAGAAAGGGGCACCCAAAAGGGAATTCCGGCCCGGAATGGGAGTGCGTCGGATTTTACAGGTCGGTTTGAGGAGATGGTGTCTGATTTATGTAGGGCCCACAGGTTGGTTGGACCAGGTGTGATATTTACATAAGGGGTGTGGAAGGCTGTTCACCCCACCCTCATCCTATTATGCAAATGGGCTTTCCACTTGGCCGGTGCCATGTTGTCTGCTCCTTACTGTAAGGAAGGAGCCTGGCAAAGAGAAGGGAAGATGGAGTCAGCATTGTGAACATGCCCAGTCCCAGGTGTCCTATTCCTATTGGTACAGCTGCCGGCATTCACCCGTGCAAGCTTCCAGCTTACTTGTCTATGTCTGAAGCTTGATATTACAGGCTGCTCCTTGTTAGAAATGAAAATAGTTTGAAGCCTGTTTTTCATTAAAAGCCTTCTGTACCCTCACTACCTGTCTAAATAATTTCTTCTTAACTCCTATATCACTGCCAGACTCTGAGCCAGAATGAGGTGACAGAGAGGCTGGGACTGTGCAGAAAACATTTTAGTAAAGATGGCTGATGGCAGTAGTGATGTCCAATTTCCAGGTGCAGCAGTGACATCTGTCCTGGTCTCGGGGTCCAGTGTCCAGCATCAGGGTGTCAGAGGTGTGAGCAGTGGCGTCTGTGCTCAGCTGCAGGGGCAGTTGTTCTTAGGAGGGACCTGATCCAGGGTGGGCTGTGGATTCTGTTCCTGGATGTCTAGTTTCTAGCCTGCTTCTGTGGCCTTCCCCACAATAAAACTAGCCCCCAATACCAGACATATGACTGAATGTGTACATTACAGAAATTTGTTTTGCATAGTTTGCTCCAAGAAGTGAGCGGGAAATGAGTCTGTGGGCAGGTGTCAGAGAGCGGCATTCACAGGTGTTCCTTGTGTGAGAGCCACATCCTGAATTCTCTACCTGGCCTCTACCCCACTGTGGAGAGAACAACAGGGAATATCAGATCTCATAACTGATGATATACATCCTCCCTTTTCTTTCTGTGAGAAAAATCCTCTTTTAAACAGAGTTTGAAAACCCACCCCACCCACCCACCCTGGCCACTCTCTGATCTCTGATCTCAGTGGTTCCCAATCTGGCTGAGCAACAGGATTGCTGGCGGGGGCTTAGAAAACACTCAGGCCACTCCCCAGAATCCCTGTCTCAGAGTTTTATGCATAAGACCAAGGATTCCTTTATATAACAAGCCCTAGAGGTGAGGCTGATGCTCAGACATGTGGGATCCTGGTGTTCTTGCTACTCCAAGTGTGATCTGGAGACCAGCAACATGAACTCCAGCCTTGTCATAAATACAGAATCTCTTGCTCGACTCCAGACTTCCTGGATCTCAGCACCACGTCTGGGTGATCCCTGTGCACACGGGAGTTCCTTGTCTAAGTGTCCTCTAGACTTGGGGTCAGAACTGTGCAGTCTGCTCTGCGTATGGTCTCATCACATCCCTTAGAACTGGAGGTTCAGGGTTCAGTCCTTGCCCTCATTCTTTTCCACAGTCAATCACTCCCTTGGTGCCCTCATCCATGCTTGAGGTTTTAAGTATCGTTTATATGGTGTGACCTCCTAAATCTATTTCTCCTGCCCAGTCTATTTCTCCTTTCCTCTAAAGTCTGGAGTTGTCTGTCCAAATTCCACCCCAGCTCCCCAACCTGCATTCCTAGTAGACATCTCCTCTACTGAGTGCCTGTGATGCCCCCCCCGTCAGTATGCTCCTGCCAGAGTCTCCCCATCCCCACTGACAGCAGCTCCACCCTTCCTTCTACTCACTCATTTTACAACTATGGGTGTACTTGATTCATCTTTCTCACACCACAGATACAATCCATTGACAAATGCTGTGAGTTCATCTTCAAATGCATCCAGAATCCCCTCACGTCCCACTATTTCCTCTGCTCACACCCCAGTCAAGGTAACTGACATCTCCAGCCTGGAATACTGCACTCGCTTCCTACTGTTTTCCCTTCTGCCTCCCTCATCCCTCACCTCTCAATTCTGTTCTCAGCACAGCAGTCAGAGATCCTTTTAAAAGAGAAGTTATATCATGGCCCTCTTCTGCTCAAAACTGTCCTCCGACTCTTCATCCCACTCAGAGCAAAGGTCAGATCCAACCCCATTCCCCTCAAGCCCACCTGCTCTGGCCGCACCTCTGACCTCACCTCAATTTCTCTCTGTCCAGCCCTCCTGGCCTCCTTGTTCTTCTGGGAACACAGACACCTTCCTGCCATAGTGCATTTGGACTGGAGGATCCTCTGCCTGGAAAGAACTTCCCCAGACATCCTCACGTCCCTCAAATCCTTCCTCAGAGGTCACCTTTGCAACAAAGCACACACTGACTACCCAGCACAACAGCCACCTTCCCTGTCCCCACTGCCCACATCCTGGATTACCTGCCTCATAGCACTTACCACCTTCTAGCACTTTCCTTCCTTACTCTGGTTATAGTGTATCTAACGTCCGCCTCTTTCCACTGGAACATATGCTACAAAAGGCCAGAGATTTTTCTGATTTTACTTCAATGGTGTTCCACAGATGCAGAACCATTCTGTCCCATGTCTGGCCAATGACAAAGGTCAGTTGAATGAATGATCACTGTAGAGCACCTCCCTATTCTAAAGGCAGTACTTTATTAACATAGCCTTAGGCCAAATGCTGCTTTGTGGCAGGTATAGCACAAAGTCCCCTCACACTTAGAGGCTGCCTATGTTTTTCTCAGCAGTGCTGCTTGTGTGCCCTCCCTCCCCCATCCCTCTTTCTACAGCAACACCCCCCATGCCCCCGACCCCAGCACACTGCAGCACACAACCAGGTTCTCTCTCAGGAAAGAACAGTCCTTGAAGATGGTTCCAATTTCACAGACAAATGTAAGTCTAAATTAGACTCTGCTTTATAGATTCATGAGTTGGGATTGGATTCAGCACCAAGATCACTAGAACCAGGGCAGGGAGAGGGGGCAGGAGAGCAGAGCAGAAGAGAAGCTCTAGAAGCAGGGCAGGAGGTGAATGGCTCTGAATATTTGTCTCAGAATGCACAGAGACCCCGTGTGCAGGGGCTGCCCTCGGCGACGTCTGAGCCTCTGTGGTCACAGCTCCCGCTGGACAAGTTTCCACTGAAGGAACAACGATGATGGAGCAGTGAAGGTGACCCAGCTGAGGACTGACCACATAAAGCCCAAGAAGAACTGAACAGCAACTAGACACAGGCCCAGTCCACACTCAGCTCCTCACAGCCTTCTCCACCCCCACCTGCAACAGACTCAGCACAGCTAACATGAGGATTCTGGAAGGTTCTCAGGTCTTTATTTGCTCTCTGAAATTCTAGGAATTGACTTATTTAATTAACCCATCAACCTCTCATAGAAGATATTTGAGAAAATAAATTTATATTGAGATTCTTATTTTCAGTAGGGAAGTAAGAAGTTGCAGCTTAGTGCACATAAAGTTGAGACTGAGATGGAGACATCCAGCCCCACCTCTCTGGAACAGGAAAGATGACTGGGGAGGAAACACTGGTCAGCGTGGGAACAGGGGTCACGGTGGACACGGGGGTGGGCTGTCTCTCCACCTCCTCACATTGTGCTAACAGGGATGCAGACACATTCAGATGCCTTTGCAGAAAGAGATGCCAGAGTGTCTTCAAAAGGGAGGCGTGAAGAAATCCTGCTTCTCAGTTCCACACAAGACAGTTGTCTCAGGCTACAGAAAACAACAGTCACGAAGAAAAAATTCAAGTCAGTCATGGTAAGTGATGGCACTCTGAACAGCCACCACACACTTGAAACGTTACAATCAAAGAATCTCCATTACGCAGGCCTTTCCCCTCTGCCCCCGGCCCCCGACTCTAGACCCCAAGAATCTCACCTTTTCAAGCCGTGAGAGACACATCAGAGCCCTGGGCACTGTCATTG